TGTTAAATATTTCTTGAGTACAAATGGATCTCACAAATACATTTTTTATTTCTATTGTCATCTAACAAACGAGTTAATAATTTTATCAACAAGAAACGGGTCTCTGTCTAGGAATGATTCAAAAACGAATTGGTAAAATATATCTAAAAATAATTTTTATTTAAAAAATCAATTTTAACCAATATGAAATTATTAAAAACTAATTATCTTATTTCAGTTTTTACAAATCAATACTTTAGATTACCGAATAGAACTCATAATTTTATCGGGTCCCTATAATTTGTTATTTAACTAAAATGAATAAAAAAATAAATCCTACACCACACATTAAATTGTACGTAATTTTATTTAATCTATATATGTCGGACCAAACCAAATTATTAACGACAATCGATCTGAACCCGGATACTCATGTCTATACATACTTGTGAATAATCGAACAAGGGCATAAATTTAAAGCAAAAACGGTTGACCCGCCCTCTTTAAGGGCGGGTCAAAATCTAGTACATTATTATAGTAGTTGTTGTAGCATCTCAGTTCCTATATGAAGGCCATAAAAACAGCATGATGTTTTACTCTGTTGAGCGTAACTTGTTGAAGAAGGAAATAATTTCCTCAGAGACTTGTTTAGACTTTTCTTGCTGTATAAAATGATGACCATCCTCAATAACAACAACCTCAAGATTAGGTACAATACTCTTGAACATATCTCCCTTCACATACTCCATTGTTTCATTGGCTCCTATATCTTTGTCTCCGAAGATAAACTTTGTTGGAACAACGATCTTGGAGCCTTGCCATGGCGCCATTATCTCCCAGTTCCTGAAAATTTGTTCACACTCTCAAGAACTCCTAACGTGAAGGACGACACTCTTATAGACATATTTGAAAACTTACAGATCCATTGCTCTGTAGTAATTCAACGGGCCAGTGAATCCAGTTTTCTGAAACTTGTCTGCATAAACCTGAATCTCTTCTTCGTTTATCCACTCTGGAATCTTTGAAGGAATCTCAAGATCATCAATGATCTCTGTACCAGGAGGGGCCACCATGAAATCTGTTCTCGTTGTTAGCAAGAACTTTTTCATAACTGTCTTACAATCATGCTTGGCAAATGCAGCCTCAGCTCTTCCAGGTTCTTGTAAAACAAGGAACTAAATCAAACGACGATGATTAGCAACAAACCACAAATCTTGAAAGTTACCTGAAACTGAGAGATGTATATAACCCATCTCCAATGGTTTTGGAAAACTCTGAAGGTTTGAGATTTGGATCTCTTGGAGAATAGGGAACAGAGAGACTTATGAAACCTTTGACCCTGTCTGGTCTAAACAAGCATAAAGACCAACCTATCACTGATCCCCAGTCATGTCCAGCCACAAAAGCCTATTTATAACATTAAGAAACAAACAAACAAAAATGTACTCATGGAGTTTACCAAACTTACAATCACTATATTTAATGGTTTGATTCTCAGAAGATAAGTTTAACCTGAGCAGTGCCGTAGTGGTCAAGCAAACCAATGACATCAGCGACGAGGTGGCTCACAGTGTAAGACTCGTGCCTCGGAACAAAATCGGAGTCACCGTAGCCTCTGAGATCTGGAGCCACCACGTGGTACCCATGGCTCGACAAGAAATCGATCTGGTGACGCCATGAGAACCATGTCTCAGGGAAGCCATGGAGTAACAGAACCAAAGGCCCTCCATCGTCTCCTTTCTCAGCTACGTTTAACCAAATCCCGTTGGTCTTGATCTTCTTCTCTCTCACTAAGTTCGTCATGATTATTGATCTGATGTGATAAAGGATAAACCAGCGACCTAGTTAAGACTTTTATTACAAGAGTTGAGATTTTGAACGTACGTAACAATCTTTAGTCATGTTTCAGTGACTTCTAGTTGCCGTGAATAGAAGACTCTCGACAAGTTCAATGAAACGAGAAACACATGACTGATTATAAGATCAGAAACGTCAAGTAACTCTTGGTTCTTACAGACAAGAGCGAGTAAATCTCGGCAACACCAAAAAGAGTAGGAGCAAAACCTAACTCAAAGGAAAAGAAAAATAGATTTTATTCTATGTTTTATTTATGGTAGAAGGAAAGCAATTCAAGAAGACATTGATTCCTTCTTTTCTTCTTCGAGTCGCTGAAGCTCAGCTAGCCTTTCTTCCCAAGCTCGCTCCCTTGCAACTTTAGCCATCTTACGTTCAACTTCCTTGATTCTCTTCTTCCTCTTCGCCTCTTGCACCAGCGCTTGCCTCTTCTTTTTCTCAGACTGTGAAAAGTATTCAATTCAGGAAAACACATCAGTCATATATGTAAACAAAATCTATAAAAAAAAAACATTGCAGATTGCTTCGGCCAAGAGAAACAATAGAGATACAATCTATGGAGTTTATTCCAACAATCAGCAGAAATAACACATTAAAAACACTGTTTCGTCAGGAAATGGAACAAAACAGAGAGATACATCCATCATTTTTTCCCACCAGTTACTCAGCAAGGATACACTTTAATATATGGATACAACATTCCAAGATCTCTCATCTGAAGTTTGTTCAAACAATCACCAGAACTAATAATGTACAGAAGACTTGAGAGAAAGCAGAGAATACCAGTATGAAAGCACGGCGCTGGCCTATGCGCTTCTTGGCATTCCTTCTTTTGAGACTACCCTTGTTGGGATTGTTTGAAGCAATTGGCTCTCCGGGAGTATACTGAACATATGCATAAGGCCCTGCAAACATTTTTCTCAACTTCTTCAGTTATTCATCCAAAACAATACATTCTCTGTCCATATCAACTTCACTCCCAAGTTTAGATTTAACAGAATCACACATTCCACTAAGAGTACACAAGATTCATACTAATCCTTAGTTAAATGGATACACTAACTCAACCAAAAAAAAAAAAAAAAATGAAAAGACAAACCTGGAGGTTTAAGTTTGAATCTTTTCTTCTTGGGATGAGACATGGGCCGTCTCTTCGGGAGCCGAGTATCAGTTAAGCGTAAGCTATGAAAATGGTTAGCCAATGGAATCCATGGCAACTTCGATCCACCCAAGAAGGAGCATAACTCGGGTTTCGCAGCCGGCGTAGACGAGCAGCTAGCGGCGACACGCGAAACAAGGGTTCTCGACAGTGGACGGAGAATCGATCTAAGCGCACCCAAACCCATTTCACCAAAGCATTAGCGGACGAGATTCCGGTTCAGATGCTGCGCCTTGATTCTCCGGTAATCCCAAGGACTCTCGCTAAACCTTGAATACCACAGTGAATTATAATGGGCCGGTGTTAATGGGCTCATTAGTGTAGTGTTACTTGGTTTGATACTTCTGAATTTGGGCAGCCCGTAACACACGTTTTATTCAGATTTTACGGATTTTATATTCAGAATTCGGCAAAAAAAACAATGAACTTTGCACGAATTACCAAATGAAACATGAACTTTTGGGTTAACCCAAAAAGCACCAAAATTTCATTAACTTTAGAATTAATTAATAATATTTTTGTTGACTTGTCAATTTAACATGCCGTTAGCAAATTTAACAGAAAAATTTGACGTTGTTTATTGTTGGCGTTAAGTGAAACGACGTCGTTTGCAAATGAGATGAAACGAAACAACGTCGTTTTACATGATTTGAAATTAAAAACAAATAGACCATCAGATTTGAACTCAGTTTGTTTGGGTCCAACGAACCGATATTTTATCACTGGGTTAGCGGTATTTTCAATGGACTTACCAACACATTTAATTTTATATTGTACTAATTGATTATAAAAAATTCTCTAAAAACTTTAAGAAATCTTTAAAATTTCCAAAAAATTGAAGAAATAATTTTTTTTATAAAATTAATTTTGAAATTAAAATTAAAAATAGAATATTATTTTTCTTTTAAAATCAATAGTCTTCCAAATTTTTTTCAATTTTATTAAAAATTATTGCTAAAAATTGCAATTAATTCTAAACACAAAAAAGATACCCACATATTAAAATTAAATTAAAATACTTAAAATAAATATTATACCCATTATGAGTGCGATTTTAGTTTTAGCTGATAATTGTAACTTAATATTTTGCATTTTATTTGTATTTTTAAGTTTTTGCAATTTAAAAAAAAATGAAAATTTTGGTAGATTTTTGATCTTTTAGAAAAAATAAAATTTTATTTTTAATTTAATTTCAAACTTAATTTATAAAAAAAAATTACTTTCCAATTTTTTGAAATTTTAAAGATATTTTTAAGTTTTTAGAGATTTTTTTATATCGAATCACTACTAAATAAAACTAAATGTGTTTGTAATTCTATTGAAAGTGTCATTATCCTAGTTGTAAAATACCTTGTCATTTATCCGAAACAACCTGAGTTCAAATCTAGAGGTTTACATATTTAACATTGTTTTAAAGATGGGTTTACGGTGTGTTAATATGTTCAGTCAATCGTAAGTTACTTAATAAATTAAAAAGTCAACAAAAGTATAGGTTTTTTTTTGCCATGCTCGAGTACATGTTTTCTGGCAATTCGTGCAAAACTCGTATTTATTTGGTCGAATTCTCATTTTATATTCTATTGAATTATATGGATTTTTTTTACTCTATTAAGACCAAAATCAAGTTGATTCAAAAACGTTCTCGTTACTTTTTTTCTTTCTAAAAATGAATGTATTTACAGTTAGAAATTTTACGAATATTTGGTTTCTATTGATTTTTGGGTTCTTAATTTTGAGAATCAGTAAAATATTTTGACATATGTTGGTTCAAACATTTCCTATCTAAACTAGGATAAGACATGCACCTTGTGCAGGGTGAATGTATGTAATTAAAATATAAAATTTTAGTATTGACAAATTTAAAATTTACATAAGATTACTTTTATATGTATTTGAAATTTTAGAATTTTGGAATTTTTATATATTTATCTATACGTAGGGTAGGATGAGAAATAATTGTAATTAGAACTGTAGATCAAACCTCAGAATATAATGAACCCGATTTCATATATCTTTTCACTTTTTGGTGTTCGAATGATAGAAAATAAACGGAGTGTCACTGGACTTGATTGGTAGAGTATTAGCAAGTTCCCTAATGATTTCTATTTCTTAAGAAGCAGTTGGTAGAATATTCCATTTGAAATATATAAAATTTCAAAACAAATTTAATATAATTTATTTATTTGTCTAATAATATTAGAAAATTATATTTTTTTACAAATTATATATTTTTTTAAAAAAAATAATTTGATAAAAAATTAAGTTAAATTTTAAATTGTATTTCAAAACAATATTTTAAGTTTTTCAAATTCAAATTAACAATTTAAAATTAATTATGATCATGATTTAACATAACCATAATGATTTGAAAAATGAAAATTTTTAAAAATTAAAAAATTAAAAATTAACTCAGTTTTTTATCATGATTTAGCAATTTAAAAATTAGTTATAGTATGAGAAGTTTATGTTCACGTGTCAATCATATTTATCTTCAATTTTTTCTCTTGTTGTGTTTTTATTTTATTTTGGTTATTATTCGATAAAAATCTTGATTTTGATGTTTATTCTCATTTCATTTGTTTGTTTTGACTTGAGATTTAAAAAATACTTAAGATTTCAAATAATTAAAGAGATACATACTTAGGTTAAGATCTGCACTTTATGCATAATAACTATTTTATATTTATTATTTATTTATATTTTTCTGCATATTATAAAACAATATATATATATATATTAAATAACTAATAAATCAGTTACTTTATGTAATAAAGTGGTGTATGCATATAAATTTAATTATCACTCTTGTTTATTCGCAATTAGGGTAAATAAATCAAAATAATCAATCTTATATATTGTATATGATATATAATTAAATTTAAATGATATAAACATAGTAATATAGCACAATTTTAATATGGATATTTTTAAATGAGGTTTCTACTCATATGATTTTAGGATTATTTTCATATTTGTGTAACAAAACTTTACACCAACGAATTTTTTTTAATGTGAGATGTTTAGTAATTTCAATAATTTATAATCATTAAAAAACAGTGACATATTTCAAAATTAAAATACTAACTTTTCAATATATGTTCAATGCAAATATAAAAATATAGGTATGTATTTTCATACGATGTATAGTTTAATTTAAACGATATGAAATATATATAAAATAAAATGATTTCTTCATATGGTCTTATAATGATTATATTTTAATATAGAAAAAAATTAAAACATTGATCATAAAAGTTCATGTGAGACTTTTAATAGTTTTAGAAATTTATACTCGTTTTGAAAAATTCGAAATACAAAATACACAAAAGAAAAATCTAGATTTTTATTATATGATTAATGTAATTTTGTAACTTATTTTAATACTAAAGAAATAAACAAAATGATAAAAGTATACAGATTGTTATCAAATCTTTATTGTTAGAATCATTAATAGTCATATATATATTTTAATCACATTAGGTAATTCCATAGGTTTTATTTAAGGACAGCATGTGAAACAATAAATATTTGATATATGCGACCAAATATAGCATACGAAATATTATATTGCTAGAGAGTATAATTTTTAGACTATACTTTAAGTTAGAAGCTCTATAATCATTCTATTTTGAAATAGAAGGCATAGAGAGGTACCACGTAGGATTGAATTATTTTTTAATTAATATAAACTTAAGGTTACATATTTTCAAATGTTTTTCAATTAATATATAGGGGATATCCACAGTATATTAAAATTTTTAAAATCTAACCAAATTTCTGTAGGAGCTATTTGGAGAACAAAACGTTTTCTTGAACACCAAAAAATGGTTATTTAGGAGATTTACCTAAACATTTATCCATATATTCAAAAACAAATTCATATTAAAAATTTGTATCATTCGGATACTTGATTGAATACCTGATCAGGTATCAAATAATACCAAATCAAATCAATACCAACAAAGTTTCCAAATTAAGGGGGATGCAACAAATAATAATGTGCAGGAACTAAATATTTTGGCCATATCTGAAACTAAATCAAACCAAATTTTATTGATACCACTCCGGGAATTTTGATTCGAGCTAGATCTTATGCCCCAGGCCTGATTGATGCAAAAATGTGTTTATTTTTAAAAGATATCAAAGATAGACGTGTGTCCTAATTTGCATACTACTAAAGAATATGTATCAAAGTATTCCACATAAGTAAAGCAAATATTATACCATTAACGATAGTAGTTCCAAATGTAAAATATGGACACGGCTATTACCATATTGATATAGATTTAAATATCCAGTATTGATCATCGAAACCAATATAAATATATACCACTCTCGTTCATTTTGCAAAGGAAAACAAAACTTTCCACTCTCATATAGTTTTCTTCACGAGTTCATATAAGATGACAAGCATGTTCTCCACAAGTCGTTCAACAAGGCTGGTCCGTTTTCAATCTATCAATACTCATGTGTTTCTCATTTCATGTTTTGATAGTTCTTGCGATTTTTTATTTTATTTTTTTTTGCCAAATTTGCGATTTTTATGTTACTCTTTAAAGATTATTCGAACCTTTTCGTGCAGACTTGTGGGTTCAAAGTGAACACTAACTCACCCAAGTGGCACAAGAGCATGACCAAAATCCTTAATAAAATCAAAGGTTTGAACTTTCAAACACAAATTTATATACGGTCTAAATATTTAGATTTCTGATTATGGTTTATATATGATATAGGAGGAAACTTTTGGATAGACGTAGACGAAGGAATGGCATACGTAACGGGTCTAGGCGACCCAAACAAGCTACTGAAATTTATGGCTTCAAGGAGAGGCAAGGACGCTTAAATGGCCTTTGTGAAAACCGAAATGGATCATCATCATGATCATTCCAATTTTGGCAACAACTATCTACAGTCTTACCTTGGCCAATCAACGCTTTATTGGCCTGGCGATATGAATTTAAGCTACCATCCATCATCTTCTCACGGTTACTACCCTTCAGGCCCGCGGACGATGAAATTTTACCAGCATCAGTATCCGTATCCAGGTGGATATGGTTACAGTTATTATTAGGGCTCTCTGTAGTTCTATTTTATATAACTAGGTCGATATCAAGCAAAATCTTTCTGTTTTTAATCAGATAGGGTTTCTGCTTGTATCCGATTTTTTTTTTGTTGATTTTTGGAATTTCAAATTCTCTCTGTGATTTATTTGCATTAGCATAAGAGGATCGAGGAGAATTAATTACTCTGTTTTTTTCTTGAGTTTTGTGTGTTTTGTGCGCATATGATGATTATTCATTGAAGTCTCAAGGAATGTTTGAAATTTTCATTTTCAAAATTGTATAATTTTCTTTAAAGGTATAATATGGATAATACTATTGCTTCGTACAGATGTTATATGACTACAGAATCCTAAAAACAAATCCATCTTGATTCTCTTAAAGGGAAAGCTCCAACGGGTTTTTTCACTTGATTTCACGATAATAATTATCCTCTTTTAACATTTTTGCATCCATAACTAAACACGACCAACTAATGATCTTTTCCCATATTCATCGCCAAACGCAAACCTTCTTTTATTTTTAGGCCAAGTAACACATTAATGGCCGGCTACCTCAAAACTCATTTTGGCATTATGCAGTCAACTGACCTTTGTGAAAACTGGAAGGCAACCTCAAAACTCATTTTTGGGTCCAAGTAACACATTATTGTCCGGGCATATGAGCTGCCTTCCTTAGTCATCTAACACTTGGTTAACGTTACCTCACATGAGGGAAAACAAATTACCTCTCATGAAAAAGCTTCAGTGTCTGCGAACCCACTTTGATTTGAGGATTCAAATTCTCTTTTCTTAAACATATGTTCATCATCCGTACACGTCCAATGATCTTCTCCCATCTTCTGCTAAGAAATACCACCCTGAGCTGTCTTATTTTTATCACATCCAATACAAACAAATAGTCCATTTTAGGACAAGTCTAGAAAGTGGTTCCACTAAAACAAGAAAGCAGAAAAAAACAATAGCAGCTGGATAACAAAGCGAAATAATAATTCATCAAATTCAATAGCTAGTCACAATCTTAACAAATGAGATTAAACAAGAATCATCATAACAAAGAGGGAATAAGTCATAACATATCAAGAGTAAATAAAAAGCAATATTAATCCAATATCTTAAGACATAAGACAAATAAAAGCTACCAAAGGTCTAGTTAAGCCAAATGTTTGGCAATGGTGGACTGAAGCTCATCTTTCTTGGCCCCAATAACTTTGTTTACAATCTTCCCTTCCTTCATGAACATGAAGGTTGGCATGGACTCAATGGCCCAGCACTAGCAACTGACTGTTCCATAAACAACAAAACAAAGAAAAAAATGCGATATATGAGATCTTTGATGGTAGCTAAGAACTAAAAACAATCTCTCTCATCAAAGAAGATTAATAAAAAGAAAAAGTCGGTTGATTTTTTTGGTTACCTTCAATTTGTCAATTTCAACCTTGAGGAAAATCACATTAGGAAGTTTCTTAGCCAAATCAGCAACGAATGGAGCTATGAAACGACATGATCCACACCAAGAAGCCGTGAAATAAACCACCACCTTCAAAAAAATTTCATTGCAATGAAAAGAAATTAATGATAAGATAATGAAAAGACATGTTAAACCATAGAGGCACTCATGTCATAACAATGTTAAAACTACAATAGCTTGATAAAAGTCGTGGGATTTGCTTTCATGGTAAACCTTTTTTTTTCTAGTCCCTTTGATATCATACAAACATCACGATATAACTCGATAGTCGCTACTTATCGTATGTATTATGTATTCTAACCGTAGAACACTTATAATCCATGGTACGTATCAGATTCAGTAAAGAAGTAAGATTTCAATTTCTATGTACGTATAAAATAGATATGTCCTATGTTAATTCATACATGTTGAGTCAAGCATGAATTCAATCGGAAATAATCGAACATATTGTATTGCAAGGCGAGATAGGACGAGACTATGAAAAGCAAACCAAACAAAAGGATAAGAGAGATTACAAGAGTCTTAGAGTCGTTTCCCTTTTGGAATTGCTCGTTCCATGCTTCCACGGTGTGACACAAGATCACTTGTCCTTTTTCTGCAGCCATCTTTCCACAAATCTTATCTTCTGTTTCTGTTTTTCCTTCCGTCTCTCTCTCTCTCTCTCTCTCTCTATGTTGTTGACCTGTTTCTATTTTTCCTTGTCATTTAGCATGCACTCCTTTTGCAAATATATAGTAGCATAAATTACAACTTCACCATCAATATTTACAGATTCCTTTTAATTGATGTGTGATTTTATTTCCTTTCTTTCTTTACCCAAATGCCAAATCATAAAAATTCCCACTGTACTCTTACAACTATTACTAGGTAGTAACCCGCGCCTTGCGTGGAATGAGGTTATTAATTTTGTTATATTATTGTTAAAACATTATATCTGTTGATTTTTGATATCAATTTGGTTCAGGGTTGGTCTTTTCGGGTTTTAAAATCTTATTAAATAACTATATTCTAAATTCATATTTATTTTTGTTTGGTGGTTATACTGGTTGAGGTTTTTTGGTTTTTTTGGTGATGTTTTCTTTTGGTGATAAACCAAAATTAATTAGTATTTGTTTGGTTTCATGTTATCAAAATTTTAAACAAACATGATGTCAACCAATCGTTTCATATTGTAATTTCTTAACATATTCATAATATATTAAATCAAATCTAACGATTGAGGGTGAAGATCATATTTTTTTGGAAACATTATTCTGTTGCTGGTTCTTGATGATGGAGATGGTTCTAATCGACTCCAATGTATGCATCCTTTACTCTTCATGTTACTAAATTTTATAAATTTCATATGCTTTATTTATCATTGTCTAAGTTTCGATACTTTATTTATTTATTTTCTAGGGTGTTAAGATTAACGCATCTGTCAAAAAAGAACTGGTGAATCAGTTTGATTCACTTCTCTCACAAGGAAGTTCCAAGATTCTAATCAACTTTTCACTCAAAACCCTCATGCGGTTCATACCGAACAACCATACATCCATACAAAATTGGATTTCTCTGGACAACCTGAGGTAGGCGTTGTGATGCTTTGCCCAATGAGCTAAGTTGTATAAAATTTGACTTTCAATATGTAAAAAAACTATTTGGTGATTAATTTTATTTTAAATTAACTTTCTTTAAGAATTTTATCTTTCTCTAATATGAACAAACATTTCTTTCAATATTAATTAACGGTATCTTAATATTTATGAAAACATTTTTATCTTTTTACATACACATATATATGCAATTTGAAGTAAGTACCTATATAACAAAATATTCATCGCAAGTGAGGATTCAAATTCAGACGTAATATAGAATATTTTTATTTAAATCTTCATTTCACCATTAACCAAATTGTAATTTTCTTTATAATTTTCTTTAACAAGTATTGGGTTTAGGGAATGACTAAAAGGAATTGGAGAAGTGATTTTTTCATAGGTTTACTATAGCGAGCATTCAATTCGCATTGTATCTCCGAAAAAACCCGAATTGAATGACATATATTTTTACCTTCCTCAATATATATATATATATATATATATATATATTGGCATACCCTAAAAATGTGAAATATACCATTTAGTATCATTAACTAACCTTATCAAACACTCAAGAAAATTAATAATTCCCAAACCTACACGGAGACGGTCTAATTCGGTATGTATACAATTGCTTGATATCGGTTTAATATTCTTAACCATAATATTATAATTTTTATCTACGATATTTCTACTTTTCATTCTCTTCAAAACACAAACTTGCGTGCATGAATACACAAGGTCATAAAAACAGAATTATATTTTACATCAACATAAACTTGCGTTAAAGATCATATGATATGACACAAACATTGTCTTCTTCATCGGCTGTATAAAATGAATTCTCAGTTCTTACATGCGTGTGAGACTGTCTTCTGTGTACGGTTTTCTCTATTAGTATTATAAGCAATGTCAATGATTGATGTGAGATTGTCTACGAAAAAATGTAAGTCAATCTTCTAGACTACTTGCCAATGTGATAGTGTAGTAAAAACATTTATCGTGTGTGTGTCGTTTGTTCTTACCATCATAGCTCTTTCTTTGCCATAGTAAAAAAAATGATATCAAGTGCATAAAGAACTCTTGCCAATAGATTAAGATATTCTATGCTACATGGATAGATTGGGTAATTTCCCTAGTCATAATCTTCTCAGCTTGTTGCTTATAAACTTTTCACCTTATGTTATATGGTTTAGTTGTAAAGTGTGGATCACATAGTTTGTTGACACAATACAAAGAAATTTGATGCATCAAGGATAGATTTATCAAATTGGCTTTGCATCAACATCTCTTTTTCGCAATGCCACTATTTACTTTTTTTTACTATTAGCAGTAGATGAAGCAAGTCTCTCTGTTCTACATTCTTTCACCACCAAGTTCTATTTTTTCTTGACAGTTACAAATAATTTCTATGCGCCAATGATAGATTTATCATGTTGCCTTTGCATCACCTTCTCCTATTAACAATGACTTTACTGTATCGTTATGAAGATTTATACTTCTCGTGACTGGTTTGTATAGACACAATTAGTTTCACATCACGTCCATCGGTATGAACATAAAACATGCTTGTGTTTAGTTTAAGCTAAAAAAAAAAAATTTAGTACACATTTTCTGAGAAGCTCTATTAAGGTGACACATCAGCTTTCTTGTTTTCAAATTAACGTGAGAGTGTCACGTCGCCTTGGTAGTATGAACGTATTAAATGCTATGCTTCTCCTTTAATATATAAGGGTTTCTTCTAAAAAATTAATTTACGTCCTTTTAAAGAAATAACTCACAAAAAACAGTCGGTGACAAAGACATTGTCATTATCCCACAGTTAAAAATCAAAACAAAGGACATGATGATATTTTTATATTACGGTCTTGGTCAGACAAGCCAAATCAGCTCCATGATATTCTCTAACCAAATTGACATCTGTGGATCAATTTGTTAAAACACGAGGTTCCCGTGAGGAACCAACTGGTAAGCAAAACTTCTAGAATCAAGCCGGAGGAAATACATGCCACACTTGCACGGAAGAAACAATTTATTTGAAAATATATACAAATAATAAAAAAGAAATACCTAATGACAATTCACTCAAATATGCAATGTTTTTTTTCACCAAAACAACTGTCAAGGAGAAAAATGACAAATGAGGTTTTATTAAAGAGAAAAAGACTATATTAACTCATTCTTTTTAAATATATACATATAAACAAATAATAAAAAAATATATAGTTTCCAATTATATGTTTTCAAACTCAAACTTTTTTTATAATTGTTTTTAAAAAATTTTGTTTTCACTTTTTTCAAATTTTTATATTTTTTTATTTATTATTTGAAAAAAATTTAAACCATAAAACCTCACTCCTTAACTCTAAACTCAGTCTAGATTAGTTTACCTTATGTTATAAGTGTATATTTACATTTTAATAAAACATATTCTGACTTTCTCTTTGTTGGGGCTCTTTTTAAAAGAAACAAAAAGAAGGTAACTTATGGAATTTCTAAATATCTAAAAAAGATTAAAAAAATACTCAAAACCCCAAAAATACTTTAAATATCTACTGATTCTCCATCCAAATATTCAAGTCAAACCAATTTTTATGTCATTTTTATGTATTTTGGCATACTTTACTCAAATATATATTTTTAGATTTTGAGAAATTTAAAGAATATATGAATTTTATTTTTTTAAAAATAATTTAAATGAGTTATCCGAACCCGCAAATATCCGAATCGATTCTCAACCAAAATTATAAATATCTGATTGAGGTTAAAATATTTAATCCAAACCCAGAACCCGAATATATTCGAACTGATCTGAATAGGTAGATGCAACTAAGCACTTTGTGGATGATTTGTTGATTATTAATCAGCAAATCATCAATATTCGTGTACCTCAAAAGTGTTTTGTAGTATATCTCAAGCCTTTTTAGCTAATTTACATCTGTGTATTAAATTCAAATTATTTTCCATCTATGTAAGATTGTATCTAATACTTTAGTGTTAAAATTTTAAACATTCTTTGCTGCATCCACTTTGTTTTCGGTGTAGGTTTCTTCAAACCATCTTCTAGAATCACAAACGGTTCGTCCCTTCCAGAATGAAAAAACCGTCGAGACGTCTTTATCAGTTCAACATAAGTTTATTCTCATTATATCTTTCTAATACCCATAATTCGCATCATTCAGCATCAACATATTATGTGCCAAAATTGACATATTCTCTTCTTAGGATTTCACCTTTTGTTCAAAAACCCTCCTTTGTTTGGGTGTTTTGCTCAATACCAATTGTAAAATCAATATTCAACGAAAAAAACATGCACACAAACTAATTTCGAGATCATGATCTTTCAAACAGTCGCAAGCTTACTTGATCTGAATTACAGAATGATGTCACACAGAAGTCGACCCATATCAATTCATACTCTATACACCTTACTTGACTCAACACATATTAATCAAGTCTCTTAAATTACTCAGTTATGAAACGTTAGAACCCTTTGTGTTTTTCCTCGGAAAATTGCAACATCAAAAGCTCTAACCTAGAATTCTAGATAAAAACCAAGTTATATATCAAATATTTTTTTCCTGTTATTTATTATAATATTTCTTATTTTTAGCATCAACAAATCATTCAACTATGATCGGAAAAATGGCTTATTCATACCCACACTACAAAAACGGAGAAAATACATATCCAAACTATATTAATGTGCCAAAACATTTCTCAACTAAACAAATATTTGAATTTCATACCCACATTTACTCCAAACAGTTTTAACATGCCTTATAACTAACATGTGTCAGTTAATTCTAAAGTACATTGATTTTTTTTTTGATTTATTATATTCTAGTCTCTATCATTTTATTTATTTGTAAATCACCTCAAATAATTAAAATTATCAAGTTGACCTTATTTATATATTAAACACATGTATATTTATTTGATAATTACTTCATCTTATCTAGTCCACTTGTCATTCATTGTTGCAGTAGCATTCTCTACCTTTTGCCATCTTTCTCCAAGACTCTCAA